ACCGCTTTACAGCGCTAAGCATTTTACAGAGCTAAGCAGTTTACAGAGTCAGCATTTTGTCCCCAATGATCTGAATTCTCATTTTACTGACCTTGGAAGGATGGAAGGCTGAGTCAGCCTTCAGCCTGGTGAGATGTGAACTGCCAAATTGCAGGCAGTCGGCAGTACTGCACTCTAACCAGTGGTGGGATTCAGCCAGTTCGCACCACTTCAGGAGAACCAGTTGTTATCTTTCTGAGCAGTTTGGTGAACTGTTGTTGGAAGAAATCATTAGGGCAGAGAACTGGTTGTTCAATTATTTGAATCCCACCACTGACACTAAACACTGCGCCACTGTGGCTCATGGTCTTTAAAAGTGATAACCAACATCTTGAATTGCATTTGGAAGCAAACTGGCAACTGATGCAGCATCCATTGCTAACATGTAAATGTTAAAAAGGAGTGGAGAGACCCAGCCACAGGCCGCAAAGGAATGGCCTTTCCTTCCCTATCAACACCACTTGGGAGAAACATTGGAGAAAGAAGCCAAAACAGTGCAAAACTGCTCTGCCCAATCGCAAATCCCGCAGCCAGCTCCAAAGGATACCTTGAAAGCCACTGAAAAGTCAAAGAGGGCAAGAATGGATGTACTAGCCCCATCCCACATTCACCAGAGATCATCAAGTGCAACCAAAGCTGTATTTATCCCATAACTAGGATGGAAACCCAACCCAAGAAGGGGGGTGATCTGGATAGGTCCATGGCTGCCATGAACTCTTGAGCCATTTCTGAGGCCAACCCCGGGGTGGCAGGTTGAAGTCTCCTGGGACCATCAGCCCAGGGAATTCCACTGCCAACCCTGAGATGGCCTCCAGTAACTCAGACTGGGAGGTTGCTAAACATCAGAGAGGCTGGTACAGTAGCAATAGACCCAACTGATTCCACATGCCCAGCTTCAAGATCATGGTCTCACAGCTAGAAACCTGGGAAGCATGGCCCCTGGAGGCTAAAAGGGATTTCTGGATGACCACTGCTACCCCTCTTCTCAGTGGTCTTAGTGGTACCAAACCCTAAATCCATCTGGACACATCTCTGAAAGGGGACTCCTTCTTCCAAAGTCAACCAGGTCTCAATGGTGTATGACAGGTTGACTTGTTCTTTCACCATAAGGTCACAAAAAATGGGGAGCCTTGTTATTAGCTGACCTGACCTTTATCACTGTTTGATGACGAGAGTTGCAGAGGCAACACAAGGCAGAAAAATCAGTATTGAGGAAGATAATGAGTCTATGCGCCATGTGCCGACCTGTTGCCTGACAACCCATAGTATCTTGTGGCTGGGGACCATCACTTCCAGTGTGTAGTTTGGCCTCTGATCCTGACATACGGAGCTATTTACACATTAGGGCTATCAAGCAATAATAATATTAAATGGATATAAACATAGCCACAACAACAGGTGAGGATTGAAAGAGCCACCAAGCCAATAGCAGGCAACTTTTGGCTTAAGGAGCATATTTTCTCCACAAAAAGAATAATCCAGGTTGGTGCAAGTTCTGATCTGTTCACATAAACATGACTGTTATTAATGTCAAACAGGCAGATGGCAATGATGACACAAGGATAGTTATTAGAATTGTTGGTCAAGATCATCATATGGTCTTTGTCGGCAAGGTTACAGACTTACTCTAATTGTTCAGATTATGTGCAGATTTGAAAAACGCTTAAAGTTGGATGTCTGAAAAGAAGAACAAGCCAAGCTGTAACTGACCGTCCCAGAGTATAATAGGAATGAAAATAAAATAATAGCAACAAATGATTCAAAGTTTTGTAGATACCCAACTATCTGAGGGTTATATTCAACAATCTGCACCTCTATGGGATATTCTGAGTATTTTTAAATGTCTCTCTTTTTGTACACGCAGCAAAATCAGTTATGAAACTTTTGATCCATCTACACATATACCCCTGCCGGTGGCCATCTTATTTAGCATGGACATGGCTTAGCTCAGACTAATATCTAGATCAGAGGTCTCCAAACTTGGCAACTTTTAAGACTTGTAGACTTCAACTCCTGGCTGGAGAATTCTGGGAGTTGAAGTCCACAAGTCTTAAAAGTTGCCAAGTTTGGGGCTCCCTGATCTAGATTATAATTAAACAGCTATTAGTCCTCCAAGAAAACAAAGGATGCTGGGTTGATTGCAAAGCAGACCCAGTCTTGCAAGGAACTCTATATTGCTTTACTTTCATTATCACCTTGCATTAGTGATACATTTACAGGTTGTTTTTTAAATGGTCGAAATGAGGTGTTAATTTCCTTTACCTCTTCACACTGTGGCTTCAGACCTGATAGGGCCAATGTAAGAAAACCAGGGAACAGAAATTGGCCACCCACCTGTTGGTGTACAACTGGGATACTGGAAAGAAGAGGCTTTCAAATTATGACCGTCATTTGCTATCAGTTGACTCAGATTTCAAGTCTCCCTTAAGTTTATCAACAAGATGAATTGACTGAGCCAAGCATTTTCTGTGAATAAGACACAGCTAGGTAAAATCCATAGGATTATTATTTTTTGGAATGGAGTTTAATTTGTTGAAAAAAAATAATGAACTCAGAAAACAAAACAAAAAGCTGGTTAGTGCCATCTGGAAAGTTTTGTTTGTTAGTCACTTTAAAAAATTGTGGTATAATCCATATAATATATATAAAATTCAATTTCAGGGCTAGTGCTCCATATATTACTCTGGTTCTGAGCCACAGCTGATTCCGTAATGGTCATTCAGCTTGCTTAAAAGCCCATTCAGGACCACAGTTCATTTGTAAATAAATAATAAAGCCAGGTTGGTGAGATAGGAAATCCTGCTCGGGGCTTAGTTGTTTTTCTTGTAGATGTTTCATTACCCAAACTAGGTAACATCATCAGTGCTAGTCTAGCATACCACAAACAGTGGTGATGTTACCTGGTTTGGATAATGAAAAGTCTGCAAGAAAAACAACCAAGTTCAGAGAGCACCAAGAACCCCTCATTTCAGCCGAGTTACAAATATTTTCCTTTATTGGAATCCTACCTAAGATGTCCCTCTTGATGCCTAGTGAATCATCCCAAAATCAGCTCACCTAAAATGGTTAATACTATGCATGTCATGTGAACCTGGTCAATAGGATTCAGAAGCAGAGATTACAGCGATGATGGTTGTGTTTTTTGGAGTGTTTATCGGGGTATTCCCTTCAGCAGAAGCCCTATGAAGATTCAACAAACTGAACTAGAACAGAAATGCCAAGGGCTGCAAATTGGAACTCAAAGCTTTGGGGATGAGGTTCAGAGACTCCAAGTGTAGTTGTCAAATTGTAATATTTAATATAACAAAAGAGGGAACTTGTTAAAAACATGACTGAAGAGTACCAATATCATTCCTTCTTGAGGCGAATTACAATAATCCACATCAAGTGATCATTTTATGTAGTCCAGAACTTGAGAACTGTTTTGTTGAGATAAGTGATCCTAACAGACTTTTCCAGGTCTGTGTCCCCCCCCCGCCGCTTTGCTTTTATGTGCCATGAGTGAAGGAGAAACCAGCCAAACCCCATCTCCTTTCCCAGGGTTCAAGGAACGCTCCTGCCCTTGTGTTTTCTTTAATGGTTTCTAGCATCCATGAATATCAGCTAGTAGTCAGAAGACACAGTGAAAACTCCTTAATCTCACCACACAGACTCATCAGTTTCACCTGGGAAACTGTTAGCATCGTATTCGCAGCCAAATGCTAGGGAATTCCTGGAAGCCTGGCATTCAGACAAAATCAGCCACCGATTGATACACAAGAGACAAACCATATTTACATTAAAAAAAAAAAGCTAAAAAGGAAACAAAAAAAGACTAGAACACGGCTTCTCCAGCAACTAACACTTGGATAAGCAGGGATTCACAACAACAACCCAGCAGAAAAGAACAGTCTAATCAAGGAACTACAAAGGAGTCGGTAGTTTTTGCCACCTACCAGCCCTGTGGAGTTCCTCCCACCCTTTCGGCCTTCTAGAAGGGCATTAAAATTTGGCTTTACCAGTTTGGCCTGGGGTGGGAGGCTCACTGCTGGAGGTGACAAGTTAAGAACTTATCCCCATCTTGGCCATCTTAGTCATAGTAGTTTTTTTAAAAAAAATTAATCTGTGTAATTTTAATATTTTAATATATTTCAATTATTTTTCTCTTTGTTTTCTAACCTGCAAGCTGCCCAGTCACCTTACAGGAGAGATGGGCAGCATAAAATTTTAAGAAATATAAATAAGTATAAATAATAAAAATAAAATAAAGCATGAGCAACTGAGCAAAGGTCTCCGATCCAGGTACGGGTTTAACCAGAGCACAACATGAAGCTGTGCAAAAGAACCCCTAACTCTAACCTCCTGGTGGGCAGAGAAGGAGAAAAGGCCGCTCCACCTCTGATTACATGGCACTATCCCAGAAGCAGGCGCCATTTTGAAGAGGCCACAATTCATTCCAGCTGTTCCCCAGACACCTATTTCCAAGATCAAGATGATGAGGAAACACGAGGTAGGTAGGAAAACAGGCCCAAGGCCTGCAGGGACCCTGAGAAGTGGGAAACAGAGCATAGAGTGCTGAGGTGGTAGGGAAGGTCTTGGGAGGCCCTGGGCAGACCACATGAAATTTGGGGAGGTGCTACAGGATGGGCTTGGGCCAGGCCTGCCAGACCCTCCCCCACCACTCCCGAGGGTCTCCGTGCACCACTTAACCACTTATCGGGGAGAGCAGGTATGAGGATTGTTAAGTGAGGCTATCATGTAGGCACCTCACTTAATGACCATCATGTCTTGCAGCCATAATGGACAGGCTCCATCACTGTCATAAATTATAAAGTGTTATTTCCCTGCCCCGTCCCACTTATTACAAGTAATATATATAGTATATATATGAGACACATTTAAAAGATCTCTGCTCCTATCCCAGCTCTAGGTGTCAGCTGATTTTGCAAAAAGAAAAATAATGCCAAGACTACTAAATAATGTTACTTTTTCTTTATTACATTTCAAAATCTGCAAACCATAAAAATAAAGCAAATTACATTTTATGAAAGGCATCCCGTGTTGATCTCTACCTAAGCAATCTGGGACATTAACTACAAAGCCACGTACATAACTCAAGCTGAGAAAGCTGCCAAGGATGGAAAGAAATAAAAGCAAGATATTGTACATTATTAGTTGAGGGCTCTTAATGGATATTTTGATTTTGGGAGAGATGGAGTTCTTGAATCCTCTTCCTTGGCCTTTTCCAGGAAAAATGCTGCTTTGTTCTCTTTATCCTTTTTGATACTTCTTTTATGCTGTAAAGTTAAAGAACCTGCATTATTATTACTTTTATTAACTGCTGGATAAGTTTTATATATCAGTACCATTTTATAGTTGTGTCATCATTTTGGCAAAAATACATTGCCTCAGACAGTTTACTGACAAACAGAAATACTCTTCGGAATACGAAAATGTCAAAACAACTTATCACCAAAAGTTTTTCAGGAAGCAAAACTTTTGGAAAAAAAAAAGTTGTCCAGTGTAATTAGAAAGATCCTCTTGTTTGAGAAAATTCAGTTTTATTTACATTTCAGTGCAAAATATCTTTGAAGAATAAATTACTAAAGCACACGATGGCTTGATCTCTGGGCATGAGAAGTGATGGAGCTTTTTAACTCTTTACTGGAAAATGTTAAGATGATGGCCACATTCCTTTGAAGACAACAAAAATAGACTTGGAGATGGACTTAAAAATTACAACTTACAAGAAAGAGATGGATATACTGGATCTACAAGTGGAATTGAATAATCAGTCATAAGTCAAAAAAGCATACAAATAATGTAACCAAAGAACGATGCGAACTATCCTTTTAAATTGAAAGATAAGACATTTACTGGAATTACTTCATGGAAAGTAAAAACGGTCTTATATCAAGATGGTAAGAACTTAAAGAGAAAAGCAAAGACACTAGAAGAAAACAGAATTTTATCCAATAGATTTAAGGATGGCTGAGAGGAAGAAGGCAAAAAAACTATAAAATTGATTTATATGATTATTGTAAAATAATGAGTTGCTATCATTGGTGATGTTTGATGATCATCTGGATTGGATTATTTCTCTTTTGGAAATGTTCAGTGGTGTAATGGATGAATTTGTAATATTTAGATAGGAGACCTAAAGATTTAGCGATAGAAAATGGGGTGAGGGATGGAATGAAGATTTGGTTGTTATTTAAGAGAGCAATAAATTATTAATGTTGAACAGTATCTAGCTGCAGGTTTTGAGGGAAGTTTTCTTTTTTTTTTAACCATTTTTGGCGTTGTTTCCTTTCTACACTATCTTTGAAAAAAAACCCAGCACATTCTTGTATTAGATTCCTTGCTAGTTTTATCTGTATAGTTCTTAATAAAATTTACTGAAAAAAATATACGTGTTTCAATCAACAGTCAACACATAGACATAAATTACCTGGAAGAAGGGCACACCATTAGTCTGAATACACAAGCTAGTCTCCAAGTAGGATTTTTCACTGCAAAGGCTCTCATTAGTTTCTCTTATCTCTTCGTCCAAAGAATCCTTGGGACAGACAACAGTTAGCCAGTTGTGGCAGTGTAGATAAACCATTTCTACAAGTTAAATACACAATAGAGCAGGAGCACTCCTCTGCACAGTTAATTTACTCTACAGCAACATAGCAGTTTAAGCACCACCTACTGGGAGAAGCAAGCTATTTCTCCATCCTTTACTATCTGTAGTTACCTCATCCAAGACTTCAGTAGTCTTTAGATTAGCTGTCAGCTCCGTCTGCTTTTGCCTTAATTTTTCAAGCAGCAGATCGCGTGGTTCTGTTTTCACCACCGTTACTGGGTAACAATAGTCCTTCCGCTGTGGAGTATTTCCTTTAGGTAAAGATCCATTTAAGAGATAATTAAAGCAGTGCACTACAACCTAGGACCACAAAGTCACCCTTTTCTTATTGGATTTCAAAACTGATTTGAGGTAGCTCTTCCTCTTTTCTTGGCTCCCTCTAAAGTCTGCAGGGCCAATTCCTCCCCCCCCCTCCAAATACCTGTGGGGAGATCTGTTTTTAGTTCTTCAGTCAGGAAGCCGTTAATCTGAGTTAAACCAGCCTCTGCTTTTTTAAGGAGCAGGTCTTTCTGTTTGGCAAGCACCTCTTGGTCATTCTGCAAGCGGTCAAGAAACCTCTCGAGGGCAACATCTTCAGCCTCTTTTTGTCCCCTCATGTGCTCTGTCACTTTGGCTTCTGATGTGTTACACTTGTCATGGAGATCCTGGAAGAAAAACATCTTAAGGTACTATGTTAAGAAACCAGATCTTCAATGTTATCAACTGCAGGTTTGACTGAATGAATCTTAATACTCAATATACGGCAACAATTTATGGTCCTTTCCAAGTATATGAACCACCATTATTTCTAAAGAGACTTTTGAGTGTGGGAACACATGGATTGGGTCCTTCTTCCAGGCTTCCCTGATTAAAGGGAGACAGCCATCCATAGCCATTCCTGGGAGAATACATTGTATCATATGGTCTAAACCACGGGGATCAAACTGGATTGCGTCACAGGCCGAATCGTGACATGTCGCAATGTTTTTTACCTTTGAGCAGCTGGGGTGGGTGTGGACTGCGCGTAATGTATCCAGCCCATGGGCTGCCAGTTTGACTGGCCTGGTCTAAACCAGTGGTGGCCCGCAGAGAAATGTCACCCCCAAAGAAATTAATCCAGGCTAAGGGAAAACAAGGCTGTGCCACCCACATGGCCCATGGGAACACAAGGCTTGCATTGCGAACACGAGGTAGTGAGGGGAGGGGGGAAAGGGCGGGGGGGGGGGAAACTTGCCCCATGTACCTCGGCTGACCACCGGGCTGCTTCTTTCCGCTTCTTTCTTCTGCTGCTTTTGGTTGCAAGCAAGGAAAGCAGCAAAAGTCTTCCTTTCTCTTTCCCAAACTCCACCAATAATGAGTCTTTGGGACCCCGCAAGGCATCCTGCTCCAAGAGGCTGCGTCGGCGCGACAAGTCTCACAAAAACTCATTTCTGGCGCAGTTTTGGGGAGAGAAAGACAGCTGCTCCTGCTGTTTTCCTTATATGAAGACAAAAGTCTCTCTCTCTCTCCCCCTGAGAATAGAGCTGGAGACGGTATCCTGTGATCCCAAATAAAGAATGATCGATCGGTAAGAAAACAGGGTGGGGAATTTTCCTGCAGACTTTTGGGGGGATTTTCCCAGGGTCTCTGGTCTGCGGGATTTAAAATTATGAGTTTGGTGGTCCCTGAGGTCCAAAATATTGCTGACCCCACTCTAAACAATTATATTAAGGGAGTCCTTGACTTACAACCATTTGTTTAGTGACTGTTTAAAATGATAACACTGAAAAAAGTGACTTGTGACCAGTTTTTCCACTTACGATTGTTGCAGTATCCCCAGGGTCACATGAGCAAAATTTGGATGCTTGGCAACTGGCATGTATTTATGACAATTTAGGCTGTCCCAGGTTCATGCGATCACCATTTGTAACCTTCCCAGCTGGGGGCAGGGGAGCCAGATTCACTTAATGACTGCATGGTTCACTTAACAAATGTGATTTACTTAAGAACGGTGACAAAAAAAGTTTGTCAAATAGGGTGCAACTCACTTAACAACTGCCTCGCTTAGTAATGGAAATTTGGGGTTCAATTTTAGCTGTAAATCAAGGGCCATCTGGATATACCTGTCATAAAATTCTATGTTTAAAAAATCTTTGATGATTTAGGTGTCACCAGATGGTAAGATTTAGTATTACCTTATGCATGTTTTGTAGGTGTTTGTTCTGGCTGTTGAGAAAAGCTCTCTGTTGATCAACTACACAGCCTATCTCTGCAGTTGCCGTTTCAGCCCAGCTAGTTGCTTCTTGGCATGTGTTTCTCAAACTACTGGCCAGATTTTTACAATGGTTGTCTGATTCCAGAAGTATCTTAACATTATCATGGCTGGATTGCCTGATCTCTTGGGAAAGGTCATCCAGAGCTGGAATCATCTTGTTCTGCTGGGAGGTGGTAGAGTTGACAAGGCCAATAGTCTGCCTAAATAAAAGGATTTAGCCACAGATTATTCAAGCATTAATCTTTGTGCTTTATTACATAGGCTAAGACTGAAGCAGCAGTCAAATAAGTGTTATACCTAAACTGCTAATTTCATTAAATGTTATTAAAGTCATTCTGGAAAAGCCCTCTGACACTATTTTGGAGTAACAGTGGGGAACATACAGTATGCCATTTTTTTCCAATCAAAATGCTAAATGCAAATGCATGCAAGCCTTACTTTAACACCCTGAAATATATTTTGTAAAAGTGCTGCCCAATCCCTCAGAGATGTCCATCCTTGCCTTTGATTCTCAAAAGTGTTACTGAGATGGAGATCAAAGCCATGCTTTGATTTATTTGATTTATTTATTTTCCTTTATGGTAGTAGCTGTTCGTAAAACTGACATCAGTCAATAAAGGGGATTGGCAAAATAGTCTATTTTATTTCACTCAATTCATTTTGACTGAATAAAATTCAACTTCCCATTTCCAAATGTCTACCTTGACAATACAGTTATGGAGGTTTAGTCTGAAGCAGGGCTGCCCCATGGATGCTTGAGTCAATGATAAGGAATGTGATGAATCTGACTCCCAAGCACTGCAGAATATTAGAATAACCCTTCATATTTCAGAAAAAAAAGTACCATATTTTTCAGTCTATAAGACACACTCCCCACCCCAAAGGGGGTGGAAATCTCTGTGCGTCTTATAGACCGAATGTTGCCAAAAGCCCGCCAACCCGCCAGCCCCCACCCGCCGGCCTCTGCCTCCCAGCAATTTGCCTCCTTGCAGCAAACAGCCTGGTCAGCTTCAGCACAGCATGAGCAGCTGATTGTCGGTTGGATCGGCCTCAGGAATACCAACGATCAGCTGTTCCAGGTTGCAGGGATTGCCGCTGACGATCGCCACCTCTGTGCATCCCATTTTCAGCCTCCGCACATCCAGTTTTCAGCCTGTTCCAGGCAGCAGGATCCACACCACCTGGAATGGGCCAAAAAGGGTGGCAGCGATCCCTGTAGCCTGGAATAGCTCATCGTCAGTATTCCGGGAGGCTGACCTAACTGCCAATCAGCTGCTCGTGCTAAATCAGGCTGTGCTGAAGCTGACCAGGCTGTTTGCTGCAAGGAGGCAAATTTCTGAGAGGCAAAGGCAGATTTTTTTTTTCTTGCTTTCCTCCCCAAAAGCTAGGTGTGTCTTATAGTCTGGAGCGTCTTATAATCCCAAAAAATACAGTAAATTTAAAAGTTTCCTTACACAATTATATTCTCTTGTGCATCATTAATATTCTTCTTTAGGTTTCCACCTTTCTCTAGGATTTGGCTGAAGTTCTGCTCAGCTTGGTGATCGAGCATGCTTAGTTGATTTTGCAGCAAAGTAATAAGTTGGGCCGTACCCTAGTGTGAATCAAGAAAAATTGAGCAAAAAATATTACTAAGGAAAAGTATACAAGTAAAATGGTTTGAAAACATGCAGGAAGCTCAAATTTATACAAATGTACTTCAGATGCATTTTTCAGTTAATACGTAATGCAGAACAATAATTCTTATAGAGTTGAATATTTTGTTTTAGAGACAGTTCAGGGGGGAAAAATCCACCAGTCAGGAGATACATGGGATGAAAGATTCTGCTATATATGGGCAACACTCAATTTTCTGTATCCAGTCCACTTCCTGGAAGAAGCAGACTCACAACCCTAAAATGAAATTTATGGACAAAGACAACTCTATTTCCAAGTTACTATGAAGGATGAAACAAATATATATAGTACTGCTTATCCTGATTAGTCCCTTTTCAATAAGCAGATTTTCCCCTTCTTAAGGACAGCCAAATTCCTCTCCACACCTACATGATGTGCACAAGAATTGACACATTCACGTTTCTCCTTGATCTACCTGAACACATTTGACTTGGTATGTATATGTGACTTTAGAGAACCTGCTATCCTCCAATTATTTTCAAGTGCAACTCTAACAATCTTTTATGTCAACTGGGCATAATAGCAGTAGAAGTCCAAAAAACTAATTACCTTTCTCTTAAGAAAGTCACACTGGACCATATGTAACATGCAATCATAATCACCAGGATAGAGAAAGGAACCATAGCCAGCAGAACCTACCAGTGTTCCTTAATCAGCGTAGCAATACATATTTCTCTAAGATCATTGTACTATTACTACTATTACGATTACTACTACTACCACTACCCTGTCACCCACTTCTATTCTAGTAGGACCTCCTATTGGCTTGATAATTCTTGTGCCACAAATGGAAGAAATACCATTTTCTGTGCCATCTTGGTCAGTTCCACTTGTTCTTGCAGGCTTTCATAACTATTCTGAAGTTGAGAAAACATTTGGGAACTGTCTTTGTGTAGCTCACTCAAAGCAAGAGAATGATCATGGAAGAAGGTAGCCATTTCTTCTTTGTAGCCTGTAACCTTTCAGTCAGAAAAAGAGTTCACGTCAGTTTTCAAGGGCACATTGATATTGATTGACTTTTTCTAAACAATACTAGTCTGATATGTATAAATGTCTTGGAAGTTTTTTTTTAAAAAAAAAGTCATGGCAAATTCTCTTCATTTAGGTGGGACCACAGATGTCACTGCATGATAGCATATAAAGACATGCATGGCAACATCATAACACAGACTCCAGATATAAGTATATGCGTGATAGGGTTTGTGTTGTGATGTCACGATAATTTGTCCTCCTGCCAAACACCCATGAGCAGATCATCAATGACCTGGTGATTTCTCCAAAGACAGGCACAATTGAGGGAACTCTGTCTGAATCATCTTTAAGCTCCATCTCTCTAGACAGCTGTGACCGTTCAGTGCCTTTCCCAAGGGGGCAAAGCATGAAACTGGACTACAAATGGTTTATAGTGCAAGAGAGGGAGGAAGGGCCCCAATGAAGACTCCGGCAGCTTGGGGTTGTTCTCATGGATTGGATTAAGTTGAAAGGCTAAAGCAGTGGTTTTTTTCCCCAACGTTGGGAACTTTTAAGATGTGTGGACTTCAATTTCTCAGCCAGCATGGCTGGGGAGTGCTGAGTGTTGAAGTCCACACATCTTAAAAGTTCCCATGTTTGAGAAACTAGGCTAAAGGTTTTTTAATCCTTGCACTGGCATGCAACAATTATAGTACTTCAAGTTATGTTTTATTACCATTTCCGCCAAGGATGAATTTTTCTTGAAGTGTTCCTGCAGCTGAGAGTTTATACTCTGCACAAGTTGTACCACAGGAGTCAGACTACTTAATGCCTTGTCCAGTCCACATGCATGTTCCTCCTAGAAGAGCAGACCAGACAGTGAACTCATTGCTTCCAACAAAGAAAACATTTGAGATCCAAACAGAAAACAGAATTATGGCAAGTCTAAAGACATTATAACTGTTCCGAATTAGCTATTGTTTCTCAAACGTTAGGTATCGATAAGATCAACTTAGTGCCAAGCTTCCTCCAATGTAAGTTGCTTTCCCAAGAGCTGACATGGCACCGAATAAATCCCCAGTGAAATGTTATTGAAGACAATAAGCAAAAAAACTCACGGATATACCAAATACACAATATTTTGTTCCTCCTGCAGAATTGCTTTCCAACAGCATTCTTACTTGCAATTCTGCTGTAACATAGGGACTTGCCCCAAGTTTCTAATCATCAAATTTCCTAGCTTTTATGCTCATGACACTGGATAAAGAAAGGCTGTACCAAAATCAATCTTATTGTAGTCATATAATGTCTACCTTGTCTTCATTTGAAAAATACACGGAACCTCCAACTCTGGGTAATAGGATCCTTCTTTTGTTTCAGGCTTATATTTTAATAGCAAATAACCAAAACATTATTCTACTTTATGTTACTTGTACTTACAATCATTTTCTGCAGGTCATTTTTATTTTTGGAGGTCAGCGTGTCCTGATTCAGCATTTTTTCGGCAACTAGGGACACTTCAGTAGAAACCATTTCCTTTACTGAAGTGAATGCTGCATCTATAGCTGCTGTGGTGACTCCAAATGCTGAAAAACTGGTGGACAGAAGATCATCTAACAAGAAAAAGATGTGTTATAACTATTTAGCCCAGTCCTCTTCTTACTAGAAGGCAACAGTGATTTGGTAACAGCTTTGATTTTTCAAACAAGTCTGAATCAAGGTTTTGGCAGGTCAGGCATAGTTGTGTGTTAACTTTACTGCCATGTGAAGTTGAATAGAAACACTTACTAACTGAGGAGGAGTAAGAGTTTAGCATCTCCTGCTGATTCTGATAGTTCTTTCTCACAGAGTTCTGGATTTTGTCGAAGAATATATTCATGTGACCCATAAAGGTCTTTTGAGCTTCCACATTATGCTGCTCAACTGCTTTCTTCCGATCTAATTTTGCATGCAAACCGGACACATCACCAGTAGTTTCTTTAACTGTAGTAAGCAGCTAAGGCAAGAAAGAAAAAAACAAAGATTGATAGTCTTCAAATATCACATCTCTCTGTTTCAGTCTATATATGTTTTCTTAAGTTTTTGCGGATATTTATATGTATGGTATTCAGCTTTGTTCGGGTATTTTCCCACATCATTGTAGTTGTGCTTTTAAAGTTGTAGCAACGTTTCGGCAGAATCTCATCTCATCTGCCATCATCAGGCTTCTGTACAGTGTTCGTCTGTGAGTCAGACTGAAATGGCTGTGAAAGTCTGATTCACAGACGAACACAATACAGAAGCCTGATGATGGCAGATGAGATTCTGCCAAAACGTTGCTACAACTTTAAAAGCACAACTATAATGACGTGGGAAAATATCTGAACAAAGCTGAATACCATGCATATAAATACCCGCAAAAACTTAAGAAAACATATATATACATATATATCTGTCTTCTTGGCGTGTGTCAGCTTGTTTGGTTTTGGAGTCGGAGGGTGCGACAGCTGGCGCAGCAGCCTTGGTCTGTTTTCTGGATGGTGGTTGTCCTTCGTTTATAGGATGGGCTTGGGCCTGAGTCTGATGAGGGGGATTAGCGGTGGTGTCCCGTGTTGTTTTGGGTCTGGTGTTGGTTTTCGTGGCTGGGACTCATTTGTTGGTGAGGGCTAGCTTCCAGATGTCTGGTAGGTGGGAAGTATTGTCCCGTCTATTAATGTTATGGAGGTGTTTCTCTATCTCGATGGCTTCCCTGATTATTCTCTTGCTGGAGTGTTCAGTGTTGGATATTAATTTGGTTCCTTTGAAATTAATTTTTGTATTCAAAAACGCAGTCAGAAGAGAAGAAAATACTTCCTCTCTCTTCCAGCACCTTAAAGCCACAGGACATGACCAACAAACGAGTCCCAGCCACGAAATCCAACACCAGACCCAAAACAACACAGGACACCACCGCCAATCCCCCTCATCAGTCCCAGGCCCAAGCCCATCCTATAAACAAAGGACAACCACCATCCAGAAAACAGACCACGGCTGCTGCACCAGCTGTCGCACCCCCCGACTCCAAAACCAAACAAGCTGACACATGCCAAAAACACAGACCCAGAACCCAAAGTCAAAGCCAGACTAAAACCCAGAATGCTACATCATAGCCACCCACTCAGGATATCACATCAGAAAACTCAGGAAATTACACCAGAAGAACTCAAGACATTGCAACACAGCAAATGACCCAGGATATCACAGCACAATACCAAGAATACCACAGCAATATATCTCACAAGGTCATCACACAACCCATTACCCAAGCCGTTACTACACAGGAGGCTAATGGAAGAGATCAAAACACAAACAACCCAGGAGATTACAACGCAGCACCCAGGATACCACAACAAAAGAACTCGCAAGCCCATCACGCAACCCATTACCCAAGCCGTTAAAACACAAGAGGCTAATGGAAAAAAGATCACTACAAAACAAACGACCCAGGAGATTACAGCACAAGATCCAGGATATCTCCACAACAAAACTCACAAGGCCATCACACAGCCCATTATACCAACATCAACTGCATCAAGCAATCAAAAGGCAGCAGCGCAGCCAACCAGCCCAGCACACCAGCCCCCCCCCACCAGTTTTTATAGAGAGACGGCAGCTCCAATCACACACTGCTTGCAGTGGCACGAAGCCGAAAGCACCAGCCTGAGGATGGCGAGTGGGACCTTGCCGAAACGTCACCAAGATACTCTTAATCTTACACGGGAAAAGACCCGAACACACCTAGACCTACATCCATCCATCCATCTATCCACACACACACACACACTTTTTCCATTACATTTTCAAGTGTAAATGAAGAGAGGGAGTTACAGAAATATTATTTCCAAATTTTGCCTCTTTTGGCTTCAAAGTCTTTTAGACCATTGGTCCCCAAACTTCCCAGCTCTGTGGACCAGTAGCACCAGTGGTGTGTGTGTGGTTTTGTGTGCCTGCCACTTGTGCAAGTGGAACTTTGTGCCTTGTTCCCAACAGGCCACAGCCCAGTACCATGTTGTGGACCGGGGGTTGGAGACAGTTTTAAACTATTAATTGAAAAAGCATCAGCAAAATGCACATATCGTCCCCTCCTTCCTGATTGGCAAAGACATTCTGACTTCATCAAGAATGTCACCAAAAGTCCAATATTCCTGCAGAACTGCTGAAGCTCTTAAATGGTCCACCTTTGACCATTTTAAATACAATTCTCTTAATCTAGCAACCAATCTATTTTTAAAGAACAATATTAATATGTCATATGGTCTGACCTTGGTAGCAGTGCCGTGAAGTTTTTCTTCCGAATTCTCTAAAGAGGAGGCCACATATTCTTCTTCAGCAAGAAGAACCTTGGTGATTTCCAAGTCTTTCTGGGTTACTTCCAGCTCCATTTCCCTGGCTTGTAGGTCAGCCTGGCACTTTTCCATTTTATTTTTTTGAACAGTAAATAACTCAGTAATCTGCATCAAGACAAAACTGTGAATGGTCACTAAACGAACTGTTGTAAATTGAGGACTACCTGTGGTAGTTTTTCTGACTGCTGGCACTTTTTTAAGGTACTACAGCTTCTTGAAGCAATGTTCCAGCTTCATTTCCACCCGCTATCTCATATTTCTGTTAATTGTATTGTTTCTACTAGGTAATGACTTTCAATCTGGTGGACCTTCAAAAACAAAACTAAGTGACATTGGATCAAAATTAATAATTTAATTCAAATAATCTTGAAATTAATATACAGTTCAGACTAGAGATTTAATGTTAGGCTTTAATGTATAAAGTGCTGAAAAAATCATGCGATGTTTTACTTTTATACATAATGCTGGCATGACTGTATGTTTAGCACTGGAAAGACCCTGTGATACCTACTGTAGAGAAACATTTTGTAAGGTGACAGAGCTGGCAACAATAGTTAAATCACTGGCTCTTGTGAAAGGAAAGCCACTCAAGAAAGTCATCTACAACTGGAAGCTTTTCACATTATAATTTTTGTGAAAAGATGAGCATGCTAGAGCTTCTAACCATATGAGAATCATCCCAAAAGATAAGAGAAATGTACTGGGTTCACTTACTTTTTTCAATTCTTCCTCCATGGCTGTGATTTTCTCAGTATAGTCTGCAATTTGCTCTTCCTGAATTGTCATTTTCCCATGAAGAGCACTAAAAAAAGTCAATGTTAGCAATGATGTAGTCTTATTAATTCCAGGCCAAAGAATGAAATAACTTTAAGAGCAAATGGGAGAAAATAGCTGTTCATTTTTGATTACTAGTTTGTTCTCTTGTTTTTCAAGCATTATGCTTAAAAGTTCCTCATACTGCTAGCTATTGGTACCTATTTCTTCCTGAACTATGCATTTAATTTATTGCTATTTAATACACTAGGTACTGCTTATTAAAAATCTAAAAGCCGTCCATAAGAAACAGAACTGACCTAAAGTCAATTAGATTATACAAGTGTAAATGATCCTATAACTTACTTCCTAACAATTGAGCTAGGACTTGTGTTCTGTTTTTAGCTATACCAGGCCTTCCATAAAGGGGAGTTTTTTCTTCAGTATAATTGATAAATCTTGCAGTATATTAGTTATATCCGAAGATGCTTTGAGCTAAGAGACTTATCAATCAATGAACTCATTCCTCCATTTCTATTCTTTGTTTCAGTTATGTTCAACATTCAATAGTTATTCAGGTTGCCACATTTACTCACCCAGATATTTTTTCCTTTTCCAAATATAAGATTTTATCCAATCATGTTACTACTTCTCTCCTGACTCTGAGTGACCGTGCTTAAAACCTTATTTTGCTGGTCCTCATCTTGATTCATTAAAGAGAAATAAGTGGGACCAGGCAGTACCATATTCTTTGCACTATAAGACGCTCCAGACCGTAAGACCCAACTAGCTTTTGGGGAGGAAAACAAGGGGGGAGGGAATCTGCCTCTGCCTCGCAGCAATTTTGCCTCCTTGTAGCAAACAGCCTGGTCAGCTTCAGCACCGCCCGATTTAGCACAAGCAGCTGATTGGCAGTTGGATCAACCTCCTTGAATATCACTGATCAGCTGTTCCAGGCTGTGGAGATTGTCGCCACAGAGGCCAAAGGGTGGGGCCAGTGGGGCTTCGGCAACATTCACTCTAAAAGACACACAGATATTTCCACCCATTTTGGGGTGGTGGGTGGGGTTTGTCTTAGAATGTAAAAAATACGATATATATTCTGTTTTCTTTTAATCTCGACATCCAAAAGGTTTAAAATCCAATTAGCTTGCTATCGAGTTATGCTCTGGGGAATTCCATTACATACTCTGAGAACTCCTTTCTTTCCCAAATAATATTCAGTATTCCATAGTCACCAAGTATCTTAACTCACAGTGACTGAGGTTTTCCCTCTCTTTCAAAAAATAAAAATAAAAATTACTGTATTTCAATATACCTCAGGGTTTTCCTCCAAAACGTTAGAACCTCAATTCTCAATAGCCAATTCACCACCTAAGCTTATGTTACTGAAGGAATTGTTGTTAGAAAACTGCTCATAATGGGACGTTGCCCTACCCTTCTGAAAGTGGCCCTGATAAGCATCATCTGAGCTTTTTCAATAAGAAATTCTAGCTAGGATTGCTTTGGAACAATAATGATGTATGAGGCAAAGGACATTCCTCTCAAATGTGACATTTGAGCTGTATCCCGTCCCTCTACCACGTTCTACAAATTGCACTTTATCCACATTCTGTCAGGAAACACTAAGTGTGTATGATCTTGCCCAGCTGGGGGCAGACGGTGCTTTTTTTTAAAAAAAAAAAATCATTAGTTCATGTTCACCCTAAGCTGCCAATTTTTGTGGAGAACCAAGTTACTCACTCATAATTTTCCAGAGAAATATAGACACCATTTTTCTCTCGTGCTGCAGTAAGATCTCGTTTTAAGCGTTCAATCTCTTCAGTATATTCCTGTGAAAAATATCAGCACAATGCTGGAATGTATCCTCTGAAGCATCTGGAATCCATAAATCCCATAAACTTATAGTTTTGGCCTGGCCAGTTAAAAAAAATCCAATCAACTATCATGCATTCACACCGCAAGGCAGCAGGGAAAATTTAGAAAGCATTTATACTTAATGGAGGCATACTGAACCTTAATGAGGGCTCGCTTTGTGAGTTTCTGATTCACTTCAGGCTTATTCATGATATTCTTTGCCCTGTGGGCATATTCTAGAGTACTCAGAGTTTCCTGTGGTACAAAAGACAAAATAAATGAAAAATAAATTTCAATACTTTTAAAAGTAAAAAAATACCAAGCAAGTAGTCTTTTTGTAGCCACTTCTACATAAAAGAAAAAAGAATTCTTGAAAAATACAAGGAGGTTCACTCCAGAAATACCTTGCTGGGTTTCCCTATAAAGAAATGGCATTTATTGTGATCTATAAAGCATTCTACCAACTCTTCTGCTGCCTTGGGAAAATTCTGTTCTGAAAGATGGCATATAACCCAGAATTGCTGTATTCTCATCATTTATTTTTATTGCTTTCCTGTTTTACTATTGTTTTACATTTTTTATAATCTTATGTTCTACTGTTGTAAGCTTCCTACAATTGCCCGACAGTGAGGTACACAGGAAATTTAATAATAATAATAATAATAGATCTTTTTATTAATATGACCCATCAAAATAGTTTTTGACAGATTTTCTCCAAGGTAAGTTGTCCCCAACCTGTCCCATCAGGTCTTCCAATGATACACACATCCCTGCTATAATTGAATCCACCCATCTTACTGCTAGTTGTTCTCTTCTCTTTCCTTCCACTTGTTCAAATTGTTCTCTAGAGACCTGTCTTCTCATAGTGCTTATTAAATCTTATAAATTTTTAAATGTAATTTTATCTGGAAGTCCAACGGATGTAACTCATAACACACCACCTGAAAGAAAGCACCTTACCTCAAGATTGATTGACGCAGGAGAAACAGTTGCAATGATACATGTTTTTGTGCGTCCTCCAAGAGAGTCCTGAAGGATTCTGGTCAGTTTTGATTCTCTGTATGGAATATGTGGAGTTCTTTCAACAAGGGCAGTAATAACTCTACCCAGCGTCAGCAGAGACTGATTGATATTTCCAGCTTCACGAGCTCTTTTGTCAACTGCTCCAGAACGACCTATGTTCTCACTCCCTGCCAGATCAACCTATAAATAAAAAACAACTTGCCTAAGTCACAATCAGTATTTATACTCACAAGGAGAGGTCTACAAATTACATTCAACCTTGGTAACCAACAATTACTGCTAACCACTAACCAATTGAATATCAACACAACTATATCTGAGGGTATTTAGATTTACAATTCCCAACAAACATAGGTAATGTGGCCTGTAGTTTAGAATGCTATAATATGCAATCAGTAGTTGGAGAATTACAAACCCAACAAGTTCTCAGTTACACCATGGGATGAGGGGAGAAGGTACCTCTATTAGTAGGTAGAAATCTGAGATGATACGGAATATGGGATTAAAATGTCAAATTTCCAAAAATGGAATTCAAATGGAAAGATCTGTACTCTATTGTCCTAAAGGGAAGGACACCTACTAGCATTTTTAAAACCAGTCTGTTTATTGTTGCAATGTAACTTCCCTTCAGACTGTGGCCAAAATAACATGATCTGGTATTCTGCCATCTCTGTATTATTGAGCATAATCTGATGCGATGCAGATACCACGTGTTGAAACTCACCAAGTTTAGCTTTCCAATTTTCACAAGCTCTTCTCCATCTGTTGTTTCTTTCATGTGCAATGTGATGGAAAACACTGAATGGGATCGGCTACAAATTGAGATAACAGAGAAATGTTCTAGTGAATATTATAATCTTTTTCCATGTGATTTTTACCTGTTGGATACCAATCACAAGTAATAGTCAATTTGGTTGGATGTTAAACCAACTTCAGATCCATGATATCCCAAACAATTCTGAGAACAGAAAAGATGTTCTGAACCTTTTCCCAGTCTTCTAAAGTAAAGATTATACGACCATGAATTGACTGAAGTAAAATGTTAAGCACATTCATAAAATACTACTAAATTAAGAACACTTCACTGAGCCCATCAAAATGGGCCCATTCAGTTGTTTGTGATTTTCTGCTTTACTTCTGCTTATGTAAAAAACCTGCTGTTGACGCCTTCTAAAATATTTATTTTATTTACCTGGAATATTGGTTCATGTAGGTAGCAGCTGTGGTTCTTTTTGCTGCTCCTCTTTCTAGGATTTGATAAACTTCATCCTTGTTATGTACAGTAATTTCTTCTAAGCCCTTGATTATTACACCTCTCTGTCAAAAGAAAAAAAAAAGCTGAAGTTACACATTCTAATTCAGAAGTTCATGACCTTGAAGGAGGAGACACATCTGCCTTTTTTTTTTTTTACCTTGTTACGTGGGTCATCAAACAGTTGCAACCTTTCCCCAACATCTGGAGAGGGACTCAAAAGATCAAACAGCTCCTCATTGTAGATTTCCAATAAAGAAACTTTCACTGAAAATTCTGTACCGTTCTCCGCAAGTTTTTCAAAAATTTGATGCAAGGTACGTGGAATTACACCTGCAAGTGGATCCTACAGAAAAATAATATCACAAGTATTAACTGCCTCGATTTAGAATCCAGGAGTTCAGTCTTAGAATGTTAGCAAATAAGTATGAGCAGATACTTCAAAGAAAGCATGGATGTGAGGTAGCTGTTAGAACATAAGAAGGTTATACTTGGAAGAGACTAAAATGTTTTTACCTCTTCCCATGTATACTCTTCATTAGGTGATCGCTCCCCTTCCATAGTGAAGGTCTTTCCTGTACCAGTTTGACCATAACTGTATAAAAAAAAATTGGAAAATTAGCTTCAATACTGTATTTTGGAGTACAACAAAAAATAAACACAATACTCACGCAAATACAGTGCAGTTATAGCCCATAAGTACTTCATCCAAAATTGGACAGACAACAGTCCGGTACACATCGATTTGTTTGGCCTGGGCTCCAAAAACCTGTTTTATTGAATAAAAGAAACTATTCTTACCCTGAGACCAGACATAAATATGGACTTATTAAATGCTCTGAAGTCACACATATCTTCTACCTGAATTGGAATAATCTTCTAACAAGCCGAGGTTAAAACTATATTTCATAATTAGTTGCAAAACGAATATTTCAGAAGTTTCCTTAGAGAGAAGTTCAGACACAATAATTACATTTTAACATATGCTTTAACATTCCAATAGCTGTAATGTAGCTTGTCTGGGTTGAGTTTGCTGTAATGCGTTAACTGTTCCATATTTTATTTTTAGAGTCGTGGTGGCACAGTGGTTAGAATGCAGTATTGCAGGCTAATCCTGCCCACTGCCAGGAGTTCGATCCTGACCCGCTCAAAATTGACTCAGCCTTCCATTCTTCCGAGGTCAGTAAAATGAGGGCCCAGATTTTGGGGGGCAATATGCTGACTCTGTAAACTGCTAAGAGAGGACTGTAAAAATACTACGAAGTGGTATATAAGTCTAAGTGCTTTGCTAAATATGAGATTTAAGTGCAACCCCACCTTCCTCCCAAAACTGGTATTTAAATCTGTAGCCAAAAACACTACCAAACTTATAATTTATAAAAATCAAGAGAATATTTGCCTCTAATCATCTTATTTAATACAGAGACATGCACAGGGAAACCAATTCAGGCAATTAATTAGAGGCAATCAGTTCAAGATGAAGCAGCAACAAAAGGAGCTAGTCCTTCAGCAGAACTGATAAAGTGAACTTTCTGTCCAGTTTTAGACATAAATCTGTATTGCTTATAAACAGTACTGACTGCTTCTGAACTACTTTATAGCAATTATACCAAGAAGCAGCAACTCATTTCTATGTGATTTGTTTCTTAGGTACTTTTAGATACTCCACTTAATGATGGAAAATCGCACCCCTTCAGTAATTAAACAATCCATTCTGAATTTTTTTTTCTGAATAGATGTGCATAGTTAACTTTTTATTATGCTATGCTGTAGAGTCCAAACAGGGAAACTCTTTACGTTCAGAATTATTAAGAAAATGGATTAGTCCATTTAATGGGCCACTGATGTCAGAAACTGAATATATTTCACAATTTTAAAAAGTTGGCCTCCTCTAAGAACCCTCTCTTTACTGGTCTCTCGTTTCAATAATACTGTCTTTCAATATATCTTTCTGATACTACCAAGATTTTCCTCACCAGCTCGCATTGAAATCCAAAGTTCTGTTTAAAGATAAAGATTACTATATTGAGTTTTATGTGAAATTATAGCAACATGTATAGGTTTTTCTTTCTGTTTCTCTAATAAATATCCTTCTTTATAATACACATTTGACATTTATTCTAAGAGACCTTCCCTATTTTATCTTTTCTCTCTCCCTCCCTCCCTCTGTGTGTGTGTGCACGTGTGTGTGTAGACTATAGACATAACACCGAACCCTAGTTTGATAATATATCCAATACCAAACTAGCACGTGTTCATGCTCTTAACAATTCCTCGGGCTTTCAGACATCTTTCTGACTGCTCACTATTTGCTCCTTGTTATTGAAGGTGCCAGGGCTTGAACATAGAAACAAATCCATCACCCCTCAGCATCTATGGTTCATTTTTTGCCTTAGCTTTTTGTGCAAATGTAGCACAAAATTTAGCATAGATGCTCCTAAACTGTCAAAATGGGGGGGAAAGGTCCCTAAACATTCCTATTAAGCAATACGTAAGACTTACCATATCAAAGGTATAGGTCTTCCTTGATGTTTTATCAGCCATTCCTCCAGTACGAACAATAACTTCCTTCCTTCCATGGTCACACTCCACTACAGAGTAGGAATTAGCTTTGCGCTCAGATACATTGAAGGGCCTTTAAAAACAGTTTCCCATATGTTATTTGAAGGGAGTGTTTAAGCCTAGTTTCAAATCAGCACAAGACCTATAAGCCTGTTTCCTTTGCTTTTGAGTTAAGTTTAGTTGGCATGCATGCCGTACTATAAGATTCCAAAACCTGGAATCTAGCATTCCTGCTTGAAGATGGAACCAAGCAGGATCCTAGTATAACACCTTAACGATTATACAACACTGGGCTGATATTGTTCCTGTACAAAGGGCAGATCTATGTGGATCCTCATGGACCTGAGGATTGGTTTTACACATAATCCATCTCAAACTTCATTAAATGACGAAAATCTTCAGTTTGAACTGCAGATGGTCCTCGAATTACAACAGTTCATTTAATGACTGTTTGAAGTTACAACAGCACTGAAAAAAGTGACTTATGACCATTTGTCACATTTATGACTATTGCGGCATCCCCATGATCATGAGATTTACATTCAGATGTTTGACAACTGACTCACATTTATGACGACTGCAGTGTCCTGGGATCATGTGGAACACCTTTTGCAACATTCTGACATGAAAAGTCAATGGCAAAGCCAGATTCACTTAACAACCATGTTACTAGTTTAACAACAACAGGGATTCACTTAACAAACGTGGCAAGGCAAGTCATAAAATGGGGCAAAACTCACTTAACGAATGTCTCACTTAGCATAAATTCTGGTCTCAATTGTGGTCATAAGTTGAGGACTGCCTGTATGCAGTCAAGGAACCAATCATCACCATGAAATTCACATCTAAGGCATAGATTGACAGGGAAGCTCTTATTTTTTTAGGTATGATCCACATGAACCCACCAAATCACAGAATATCACCACAAAACTTAACAGATAACAGATAATCAAAGTTGGAAGGGACCTCCTGTCCAATTCCCTGCACAAGCAGGAGACCCTACACCATTTCTGACAGATGGGAGTCCAATCTCTTCTTAAAAGTCTCAAGTGATGGCGCTCCCACAACTTCCGAGGGCAAGCTGACTGAATCATTACAAATATATGAAGCAAATATATCTTGGCCCCAAAATTTAGAATGAACAGATCTAGTGATATTATATGGAATTTATCTGGAACCACCATGAAACAGCATATAACTTTGTGCACGCTGAAGCATTACATTTTTTATTACCTTTGATGCTGTAAAGGCATGTTGGAACACTATTGCTGTTAATCTTTTCACCACTCCTTATCACCCATCCCCTCCCACTTGACTTGTTTCCTAGTATGATTTGATTGATTGTACCCTATGACTATCATTAACTGTTGTTGTACATTATGATTGTTGATTCTTAACGAATGTACCTTTTCTTTATATATACTGAGAGTATTTACACCAAGACAAATTCCTTGTGTGTACAATCACACTTGGCCAATAAAGAATTCTAGTTCTAGAAGTTAAAACCCACCCCTCTCCTAGGAAAATGAAATCCTTTAGGATATATTAAAAAGGGCAAAATATTTCCCCTAAAAGAGAAGTAAAAACTCAGAGAGGCAGAAACCCCACCTTTGTCAATCGGCCATTAAGGCCTGGCCCAGTCTATTCTACATAACAAAAGATCTACCTTCTTCAGGTAGAGCCATAATAGGAATTGATTTAATGAAAGGGTTTTGGGCAATATATCCTAAACTATTTCATTTTCCTAGGAGAGGGGTGGGTTTTAACTCCCAAAAGGCACAATGTGGATGCAAGGGATCAATACTATTAAATATTCTTTAGAGATAAAACCTACCCCAAACTATTATCAAACAACAGCATTGAAAGACACTTTGGATTTCCATGATGAAAAGTAATGGAGCTGAAATATAGATTTTTAGATTTTGAAAATCTTTATATATGAGCCATTTAAAATTAGGATCAATTTATAGATGGCAAATATCTTCACTGTCTGAGCCAGAAAATTAATATATCTGGCCATTTTGGATATCATAACATTAATAACCTTCAAAAGATAGATGGCACATACACCAATTAATTTCAAAGAAAAAGCATAATTGTAATTACTTCAATTCTGTCTACAGAACATACTACACTTTGATTCTGAACTTCATGATACAATCATGACATAAAAATAATTATTCAGCATGGTTCATCAAAACGATTCAGTTGATAACCAAAATCTGTTCATCTGAAATGTACCGTTTAGGGTTTGTTTGTTTTTTAAAAAATGTTAAAATGCTTTAGCTGGAAAGTTTTATATCAATATTAACAAAAATCCCATCACAACAAAGATCTTACGCTTCATATTGCATAACTCCACACAAATTCTCTTCAGGTTCAAGCTTTAGCCTCATGCCAGTGTCCCCCAATTGCAGCAAATTAATTAGGCTTATGTTTTAGCCCAAAGACATGGATATGATTTGAGATCCTTAAAACAGATTTTACCCATATTAGGTTATTCTGATTTTTATATTTTGTATTGCTATCCCGCTCAGTAAGTTACTAGAGAATAACTACTGACTGGCAGCCATCAAAATGTGATAGTTTGCCCATGCCATAAGGTAGTCAATGATACAATCGTTATAAAACTTTCCAGCTCAAGCATTTACCATATTTTTTTTAAAAAAAGCCTAACTACTACTGTGGTTTTTAAATTGGAGTCTTCAACAACTATTACCTTAGCATTTTACATCTTTCTGGAGAGAGAGGGTGAAAAGGAGCCTGTCACTCGTCCCAATTCAAATACATCCAAATAAAGAAGATATGTACATGAAATAACCTCAGCTCATACATAGCAGGACAATTATGCCTGGTCAATAATCTTTTGTCAAGTTGGAGATGCTGTCTCCAGATTGATCCCGCTGTCTTCATAACTCTAATAAAAAAAACTAAAACAAAATCACCTTTGGGAAGCTTAAGAGCACACTTTATGGTGAATTAAGTGCCACTGTTTCCGATGGGAGGTACTCTGAATACATCCTTCAAGATGCATGATAATAGGGCTTTACTCCTCTTTCAGTGAAGCTTAGGAACATGCTTAATGAATACACCTTATTATTGTTTCCAATGGAAAGTATTTCTGAAGGCGAATGAACACTGTATGTATAACTATTGTTCAAGAGCACACAATAACTAATGAGACTTTACTCCTACTCAAGCTTGCCTGCAGAAATCGTGGGGGCTCCATCCCCGGATGTTTTTTAAGAAGAGTCCAGATAAACAGCCACTTATCTAAAATGGTATAGGTTCTCCTGCTCGTGCAAGGGGTGGGGGGGCTGGACTAGAAGACCTCCAAGGTCCCTTTCCAGCTCCTACTCTAAGACTTGCAGCCCTCCTTCCACAAGCGGTATTGCGATTGTTATGACTGGGGAGGAACTAGATCCAAGATTGGTTCATCTTGACAGCATAGCCACCCCCCTCATCCCAAATTAACGGGACGCAACTCCTCCATCCCGACTCGAGCCTTTCGATGAGCAGATGCTCGTCCTAAACGTGATCCAATCCGAATCCAGACCAGGTAAAGAAAATGCCCACGACTACAAGCCTGGGAGGTTAATCCTGATCGAAACCGAGTGAGGCTCTGGCGAAAGGAGGATCAAGGCAAAGGGTGATGCCTCCTCCTCCCGCGTGAAGTGACAATCCCTTGGCCACCCGGAGGCGACGCCCCATCAAGGACTTACCTGCACCTCACCACCACCTGGATGTTCTTGCCTTTGTCCTCTTTCTTGCCGCCCACGAAAGAACTCATCGTCGGTCCGTCCCGGGATGAGTTCAGAAGGCGAGAGCCGGGGACAAAGACCGAAGCAAGCCAGGAAGGGAACCGGCGCTTCACCCACAGCGCGCGGGGGAGGCCTGAAGCATCCGTACTCCCGAAGGGAATCCCTTCGAGAGAGAGAGAGAAAAAGAGCGAGAGAAGAGCGCAGCCGCCTTCAGCGGAAACCGCTCTTTCCTCTCCTCGGCCAACTTCGCGAGAGAAGCGCGCCAAGAGCTTGAGCCGACCACTTTGAATTGCTCGCGCGGCGCGTCAGCCAATCGGCGGGGAGGCTACGAGGTTCGCAGAGGACCATGGGACTTTTATTTTTCAATACGCGTGAACTCCCGAAGATGTTTATGACATCATCACTAGGCGACGTAAAGGATTAATCGGTAGAGTGGTATCTTAAATAGGTTGTACAGGGGTCCGAAGCTTCTTCATGGGCTTCGGGTGCTTTTTTTTTTTCTTCCTCGCTCGCGGAATAAAAAACAGAAAGGATCTGGCCAGTGAGCGTTGGGGGAAAAGCAGCTATGAATCTTTCTGCCTCGGGCTTCTAGCATTTTTATTTTGATTTATTTGATTTGTCAATCGCTTACAAGATAATAGATATACGTATAAACATGAGTAAGAATACAGGAAATAGGTACGATTAAATGGGGACAATAGGACAGGAACGGGGGGCATCATGGTGCACTTATGCACGCCCATTACAGACCTCTTAGGAATGTGGTGAGGTCAATAGTGGATAGTTTGAGGTTAAAGGAGTGGAGGGTTTGAGGATGTAACTACAGAGTCACGTAGTGCATTCCAGACATTGACCACTCTTGCAGAAGTTGTACTTTCTGCAATCAAGTTTGGAGCGGTTTACATTGAGTTTGTATCTGTTGTGTGCTCTTGTATTGTTGTAGTTGAAGCTGAAGTAGTCAGCTTGCAATAAATTTCATGCCGCAGTTGTTTAGAATAGCTCTGCATATTGGCTCATGTTTGTCCAAAGGTGCTTTTTCCGGAGGCGACTGGAGTTTCTTGTTTGTTTGGGGTTTTTTTTTGAAGATGTTTCTCTTCTCATCTGAAAAGCTTCTTCAGCTCTGACAGGACAGTGGGGAATAATGGAAAGATTTATAATCCTTACAGACAGCTGGTGATCTGCATCCTTAGAGGATCGGTGAAGTACTTGAACGGTTTATCTGTGACTTCAGAGTCACCTGAAGTTCCTGTAGTCTGCAATTTTTCTTCTGGAAATCTATTCCTACTCATCCAAGGCAGCCAATGAGACAAGAAGAAATTTTAGACTTATCAAACTGGTTCTCATATAATGTAATGTCAAAGCCTTTTCATGCCTCTCCTATGCCCAATTTCCTTGGTACTCTCCTAGCAAAGGAGAGAGAAAGAAATGAAGAGTTTCTGTACAGATCATTAAGATAGAATGCTACAGGAGTGAAAGCTTTATTTTCACCTTTCTTTGGAGCAATCAAAGAAAAAAAAACTAAGGGTTAATTATGTATTCGGAACTCATAGCATTTATTTAAATAGAGTGATCAAAATCTCACCAAAGCCTGAGCAAATCTTTTAAATTCATCAGAATTATTTACTGATATTAAAATTATAGAGTATTAAATTTGTTAAAATTAAGATTTAAAGATATTTACACTTTCTCTAATAGCTACCTTGTATCTGAACCATATGTTATTTTAATTTATATTTTTATTTTATTTATGAAAATTTATATGGCCATCCAATTCATTCTCACTGGGCAGTTTACAAGGATAAAAACCCAATGTAAATATAATTAAAAACTAGTCTTCAGGGCCTTGTGAAAGAATATCAAAGTAGGGGCCAATCTTATCTTCATGGGAATGATGTTCCACAGTGAGAGAATCACCTTGGAGAAAGCCCTTCTGGGCCACATGAAAAACGGGTCTTTGTGGATCGCAACTTCCTGATTCCCATGATGCTGCCACACTGCCCTTGATGCTGCCTTCCACCGCCCCTGCCACCAATGTGCATCATGTCCATCCCCCTGCCCGATGCTGCCACTGACATGCCAGACTGGGATCCCGCCCCACAAGCCAAATTATAAAATGCTCAGGTCTGTGCTAAATGAACCTTAGGAGACCTGTAGCATTCCCTATTTCTCCACTCTGCTAGATCTGGAAGTTATGAGTGCACGAAGAACATAGACATAGAATAACAAGAGTTGGAGGTCATCTAGCCTCTTATCTAGGATTGAATTCACAGCCTCCTGATTGTGAGGCGAGAGCTCCACCTCAAGGTCACTGGAGCTGCTGCGAAAAAAAAAAAGATCCTTCAGATCTCAAACCATGTAGGCTTTGAAGGTAACCACCAGCATCTTGAACTGGATGCGGAAGCAAATTAGCAGCCATTGCAGCTCCCACAGAAGAGATAATACATGAGCACATCTAGGCCTGCACAAAGCTATGTGTGCCATGGCATTTGAACCAACTGAAGTTTCCAAGTACTTTTAAAGGGCAGCCCCAGATAGAGCGCATTGCAATAGGCAAGATGGAAAGTGACTAAGGTGTGGGTGGCTGTGAGCAAGAATTGATGGTTCAGGAAAGGGCTGGCACACAACTCACTGTTGCACAAAGGCACATGATTGAAAAATTACCTGCATGGAAAAATTACAATGTTTACTGTATTTTTATGGTATAGTTTCTAGGTGTGTCTATAAAGGTAAATGTTTGGAGTGGAAGGTGTCCATGTCATGAATCAAATAGTTTACAAGACATAAAGTAAGTGGCTATATTACCAAGAACTTGGAACTAATTTATATGTGCATGTATAATACTTTGCACTCTAATATTTCAGCTGGAATGCCACCATGAATTATTGCTTCAGCCCTGCCTTATACCCTAATAGCAGAGGCGTGGTGCAATTTTCACTGAAGCAAGATTCACAGCCTTTGAACAGCATGCTGGAAATCTCTTTGCAAAAGGAGATGGGACCACATAGAATAATTGAATAATAGAAGGTATTTTGCTACACTCCACCTGCTGGGTTCAGGAATATTTACATAATGGATATAATTTATGCAATTCATATAATTATACAAATATTTCAAGTGTAGATTGGGACTATATTACTACAGGAACCCATTGACTGAATTTTAATATCACTTTTAATTACTTTAATTATTTAACTATATATGCAGATATTATTGCCCTTCCCCTCACAATATTAATTCCCAAGTTTAATATAAATTGTGTGTGAACACAATGAAAAACCTCTCATTCTCATTCCCTCCCATACAGCACACATATACATGTGCACAGAAGACAGCAAGATTAGGCAGAGTCATGACATGGGAGAGGAATTTGTTGATGAGTACCAACAGGGGCCTACCCACACAGGTGAATTACACCAGATCCACTGGAAATGTAGATGTGATAACATACATGAGTTTTCACTTGACCTGCTGGTGACTTGTTTCTTTAGACAGCTATGTTCTATAGACGGGGTCTGATCAACGTTGTTTTGGCCTTTTGTATGTTTTAGATCTGTACGTTCACCTGCATGACTGCTACTGTATGCAAAATGAGCTCAGGAGAGAAAATATACGGTTTTCTTAATTAAAATATATATTCCTCTCCACTCTTGCTTTCTGAGTCTGTTTAATAGTATATTAATATAGTTCCTTTGTCTTGCTCAAACTGACCAATGCTCAGTTATTGGGCAAATGCTTTTGAAATTTGCTGCAACAGACATGGGTGGATGACAAACAACAGCAAGTGATGCAAATCAGTAATAACCTAGTTGTAGAGGCAGCTTATTAAAACAAACCCCAAAACTGCACTCTATAAGCAGTTTAGCATCTTCAAATTGATACTTCAGACACATGGTAATTTTAAAAATAAAGTTACTTGGGAAGAGCCAGCGTTTATTATGTCCTCGATTGTTCTTATCTGGTGGTGATTTTAAAAGTATCAGTAGTTAGTATGACCATAACCCATTTAAGCAAATTTGAAGGATATTCTCTCCTTGTCTCTTTTTGGTTAGGATTCAGGCTGGCTTATAGCACTGAGTTCTGAGTTCTGACTGAAGAACTGACTGAAGTGGCCTCAATGACTCTTTCTGCTAAAGACTAGATGATGGCAAGGAATATAAATCCTTGTATCCTGCACGATTCAGTCAGAATTGAAGAAACTCCTTGGATGAGAAGGAAAATGTCTTCAAGAAAAAACAAAGTCCAGTTGCCTTTGGAAAAAAGTACCTTTGGGACAACCATTACCTGGATGACTGAGAATCTCCATAGACACTCAGGACTAAAGAAATGACATTCCAAAGAATCATCTAGTGTGATTGGGCAGGAAATATATCTAGAGCACTTAAACCTAAGTGACATAGTTCTTAATATTAATTAATTATAGCAGCCTCTCCCAATATGGGAGCTTATATGCGGGAGAAGTTAGAACAGCAGCATTTGGAGCATAACAAGAGAAGGATGTGTGGGTTTTGTTGATGTGCATGAATCACATTCTTACTAAATCATTTTCATCTGGATCATCTTCCCTGTGGAACTGAATCATCCTTGACATTTCAAAAAGTATTTAAAAAAGACATACGTGTATATACATCTTATATCCAGCTGCCTGAAATTTGGCAGTTCAATCCTGACCAGGTCAAGGCTGCCTCAGCCTTTCATCCTTGTGAAGTTGGTAAAATGGGACCCAGATTGTTGGGGGCAATATGCTGACTCTGTAAAACTGCTTAAAGAGAGCTGTAAAGCACTGTGAAGCAGTATATAAGTCTAAGTGCTATTGCTATTATATGCTCTAGATGCACTGGCACAAAACTTGCTTATAGAAGGCCTAAGACCAAAGGAATTGCTTCAAAAATAAAGCAAAACCAAATGAACAAGCTGAAGATCATTTCTCAAAATCAAATTGGCACAGCAGAGACACATTAGACAACATGGTTTGGCAGTCAACAGCCCTATTTGTTTTCTTTGGAGTCTTTACTATGTGTTTTTAAAATTAAAAAATAATTCCCAATTATTTTCAGTGGAAGCAAAAAAATGAAGATATCCAGAGTGTCCAATAAAATTAAATTTTAGAAAGTGTGCAGTAGATGTTCTATAGCTCTTCGCTACCTTCACTTTTGGAGGGTGTGATGTTGATAACATCACACCCTGTGATGGCTGTTGCATAACCCTCCTCTATCATTTCCTCATATCTTTCAGTTTTGTGCACATGTTCTTTTTATTTATTTTACACTGGGATTTTTGCATTTTGAACTATTAAAGTCCACCCCCTTGCTTATTTTTCAGTATTTGCTTTCACAGTGG